GTAGCACCAGGCTCAGCGAGGTTGCACAGTCGCCGGACAGTGCACCTGCTGGATAGTAGTTTGACTGACGTCATAGCGACGTTAGAAAGCTAGTAAACTATCCTAACTTTCTAGTTGTGTTGCCAGGCACCCATGCATGCCTGCAGCACTTTGTGCGGCCGGGTCCTGTCCGTCGGCGCGTGTTTAGGGTCGTAAAAATTGGCTCGTTTAAGATCACTCAGCAAGGGACGCCACGCGCGAAACTGCAACCCGCGATGCAGTACCCACAGCCGCAGCGATATAACACCTCCGCCCTTGCCGCGCGGCACTTCCGAGGCGATATTGGCGACGCTAAGCGGCAGGCAGGGGCGTTGTAACACGAACAACAATTGCGCCGGCTCAATAGGCCGCGGCGCACTGCAGCAGTGCACGCGCACAGGAACTGCCATACCCTCAAATAAATGAAAAGTCGCACAAATTAGCCTAGGCTAGGTTCTACATGCAACCCAGCGCCGCGCGACGCGCCCACCGTGGCGTGATCGACTTCTGCTGCCTCTCGCTCGACATGGAGTGACTTTTCGAGACCGCTGGCCTCGGCTTCCACTGGCGAAGTGCTCTCGGTTTCTTCCACAGTGGCCCGGAACATGCCGAACGCAGCGTCAGATATCGTTCGACCATCGTTCAGCTCCCTCAATTATCATTTGTCCTAATCCCGAATAATGAACCGTTCGTTCTGTGTATGTTATTCCAATGTAATTGCACGTGTTTAATGATCGACTAATCGAATTTGGTTGATCCGTCTCACGCAACGACAATTAGGCTAGTCAGGAGGCGCGTCGGGAGGAAGTAGATCCCGGGATATATCGGGCAATGTAGGTATCTACCTATCTAGTTTGCAGTGAAGAGCTTACATTCCTTCCTTCACAAGGGGCTCTCTCTCTACTCAGTGAGCACTTACGCAAGGCACGGGGCACTTAAGCGCGCCCAGGGGGGCGCCGGGTCACGAGCTGAGTTCTGTTGGGTTTCTCATGTCCAGGACCGCCGTGCCTGAGCGCCGCCTGAGAGCCGTGCCTGTACCCCGCGCCCTTGGAACACCTCCTGAGCCCGAACTTGGTCAGGTCGAATTTCCCGCAGCCAGCCTGAGCGCACCGGACGGCCCAAGCTCAGGGGCTTGTAGTATTCAAGTCCAATCTCAAATCTGCGACTCAGAATCGATGCGGGATCCAACACCGATGACGCCCGTGTGCGTTGCTCGGATACGTATGTATCAGCCGAACCAGCGATGATCATGTCGCGGTCCTGCGTCCCACATGTGCGTTCTCACGAGCTCCCAAATAGAATCAACTCCTGACCAAGGATGCCTGTCTTTATGATGGCTCCGCGGGCGGACTACTCAATCAATCCACATAGTCGCAGCTGTGCCCTAAATTGTGAGACATTTGCTGCTAGCGCGGTGGTGTGCATCACCTCTGGATCTGAGGAAATGAGCATGATAGCCGTACTTCTCGTCAGGTTCTCAAACAAGGCAGTAACCCTGTGGTGCCGCACCAGCATTCCTTCGAAATGCGCTTGTACCTTGCGACAGCTCAATTTGAATTGCTTGATGATATTGGATATTTTCTCAAAACGATGAATATCACTATGGGGCATGAAGGTCGCATGTGCAATGACGAGAAAAGTTGTACTTTCAAAGAGCACCACTTCGTCAGTGCCGCAAAGGGCACAAAATGCATTCAAATTAGATTCCAGGAGTGCTGTGTTTGGAACCAGGGAGTAAACAATGTGAGACCAGGCTCGGTATAGAGTTTCATCCCAGATTGAAGTGCGGAAGAAACTAATTCGAAGCTGTCCACCAGTCTGAGAAAGAATGCTAGCCCGTTTATCCATAAATATTGATTCCCTGGCCTCGTCTTTGACAAGATCCATTTTGTGCACAAGCACATACACACGAGCATCTGGTGAGTGTTGCTCCAAGGCTTCCACTACATCAACATACTGAGAGAAATCGTTCCCTTCTTCTTCGCTCTCGATGTCAAAAACATAGATCAGCAGTTCTACAGAGCGAAATATATGGTCTCTCATGTGCTCGAGATAGTTGCGATAGAAGTCATCCTATGCATGCAGGCTTAATCAAGCTGGCGCAAGGTCATTATTTCCGAACCTGCCCGCCACAGTCCCAAAGATGCAAGTGCAGGTTACCAAGGAAGCGTACGTGCGAGTACTCGACATCGATTGTCGGCGAGAGTCGCATAGTGTCTCGCGCGAGATAATCTGCGAAAATAATCGACCTCATTGACGTCTTTCCCGATCCTGAGCGTCCCATCAACAGCACCTTCTTCGTCGATGGGAGCGCCGACATACTCGTCTCGACTGAAGCTCCTACTATAGTACTAGTAGAGTATCATCTCCGCTAGATGTCCGCTGGGGCAAAAGGCGCCTCGGCTCTAGTGCGCACCGGCGCGCACCTCAGCCCGGCGCCTCGGCGGAGCCCTTCCGCGCGCCCGCGAAGGCCCTCGGCGGTTCCGAGCCCGAGCCATACCTCCTGGCCCGCGGCTCCGCACTTCTTTTCGCAGCGCGAACCGTCTCGGGGCCCGCGCGCGACGCTTTCCAACGTGATTCGCGGCGGGTGCCGCCATCGCGCTGTGCACCGGCCGCGGGCCGCCTCGGGCCGCGCGCGACGCTTGGGAGGCCCTGTCGGACCTCGGACGACTGCAGCGCGGCGCTGAAACGGGTCGAGGCGGCGCGATCGCCATCAGGGGTCCGCGACATCGGCTCGGCGCCGGAGCGGCCGCCGCGGCCGCGGCCTCGCGCGCGCGCTCCGGGCGGCGAACGGGACGCGGGCCGCGTGGCGCGCGCTCTACGCGGGTCTCCGCGCCGCGGCGCCCGACGCCGACGTCGTCCCCCTCGTCGCCGGCGCCTGCGCCGACGTCGCGACGGTACCGCGGCTCGAGGACGCGGATCCTCTCGCGCCGCCGCTGCGGCAGCGTGTGGCCCAGCGCGCAGAGGCTCACCTGCGCCACGGGCCGCTCTTCGAGCGGCGCCGGCGACGCCGGCCAGCGCTTCGGCGCGCGGACCGGCGCCGCGCGGGCGCGCGGGAGCCTTGCGCGAGGCCGCGGCGCGGCTCAGATCGTCGTCCGCGCGACCTAATCTTGCGCGATAGCAGACTACCTCGGCTGAGGGGGGATTAGGCGTCGCGTGGCGCCCTAGCAGTGGCGCGCTGCACTCGTCTGGGCGCCCCAAGCCGCGCGTGCCGGCACCCGGCCCGGCCCGGGGCCGCTCCGGAAGGCGCTGGGGCGCGGGAATCGCCGCCCCGGACCCCTGGACGCCATCGCGACGCAGCGCGGCGACCCCGAAGCTCGAGAAGGCCGGCTTCTCCGCGCCGGGCTCTCCGGCCCTCGCGGCCGTTCTAGCGCCGGCGGCGACGACTTCGGCCGCGCGAGCGCCGCCGGCGTTCGCGAGCCTCCGGTCCCCGCCGGCGATGACGTCGAACGACGCGTTCCCGCGCCGCGCGTCGCTGCGGCGGACAGAGGCCGCGCGCGGCGGGCGCCCGCGGCGCCCGCGGACGACGTCGCCGACGCGCCGCGGGCTCCACCGGCGCGAACGTCGCGCGGCGAAGACACCTAGACGGCTCCGCGGCCGGCGCGTGAAGTGTGCCGAAAGATCCGACGGCCCCGAAGTCTGCGCGGCGCCGTCGGGCGGAGGTAGGCGGTGCCGCGCGCCGCGGCTGCGATCCCGTTACTCGACGCGTGCGCGCGCGTCGAGATGATCGCCGCCGCCGACACCGCTTGCCACCGACCTCGCCGGGGTCACGGCGGACCACCCGATAATCTCGGATCGGCTGGAGACGGCGCTGGCGCCGAGCACGCGCGGCAAGAGCCGCCATTGCCACTAATGATGCCGCCGGGCCTGGTAGGCTTGGCCGATATTTCCCACTAGCCTGCTAAAGGAAGCAGAGTAACCCCCTCCCTCAAGGGGGCCCCGGGCGGCGCTCAATTCAGTTAAGAGTGCCAGAATGAAGGCCGACGGGCCGCGCTTGGATGCCAGTGGCGCAGACGAAAAATGATGTCTCACATGGAACTGCTCGTGCTGCCCGATCTCATTCTAACCCTCAGGCTCGGACCGAACGAGAACCTTCTAAGACGAAGCTATGGTTCGACGTCTTTATCAGCCCACAGCCGCGCGATAATGCGGAATGATGCAACGATCCCAGCAGCTTCGTGCTCCGCTAGTGTGAGCCTGAAGCACATGCGCACTGGTGACCGAAGGAGGGTGGTGGGTGGGCCAGAAAAATAAGCCGCGCCACCCCGGGCCCCGGGGAAGCCGCGAGCTGGGGGAGGACCACCACAGCCAGCAGTTTTCTAGAGAGATAGAGATATTTGTACCTTCCTAGTGGCTCCCTGGTACAGAGCCACCCAGGATTCTTCCGCTTCCTGGCTAATCGAACAATTGTACAGGTTAAGACTTGTATCCCGCAATCTCAACGCGCGTTGCTCACTAAAATGGAGATGATGGATAGCCATCGATTGCCACCCAAGACAATCGATGAGTTGCAGAAGTCACGTGAGACCCGTGCGAATGATGCACTGGCAATGAAGGAGCAACAGCTGCGCATGCTGAATGATCAGAACGTACAATTGTTACGGAACTTGGACAGTGTCGAAGAGGACGCGAACGCCATTCAGCTTGAGAAAATTGCGGCCGAAAATGATAATCGTAAATTACGAGACGAAAACTTCCGCTTGTTGAGTCGGGCCCGCACAGCAGACGCCCAACTCTCGTCAATGAAAGCAGAAACTGTGGAAAAAGACAAACAACTCCGGGTGATCACTGATCAGAACTCAGAACTGTTGCGTTTGTTGGAAACGGAAGAAGCACAAAGCGCGAAGCTCAATGCAGAGAATCAAAATTATAGTAGTGAGTTAGATCTGTTGAAAGCGAAGTATGGAACACTCCTTGCGACTGCAAAGACTCACGAAGAAATGGCAAATCGCGCAGCACATGAAGGCCAGCTGCGCGCCGACGAAGTTCGCATCCTGCGCACTGAGATCGAACAATTGAAGCAGCAGAATCAAGAGCTCAAACTTAAAGCACAAGTGGAGCTGGAGGCACTGCATGAGCAATTACGTGTCCGCAAGGAAAAACAATATCAGCTGCTGGAAAAACTCCAAGCTCAAGATCGTGTGAAACGCCTTGCTGAGGATCAGGTCAGTAGCATGGAGGACAAGTTACGCCAGCTGCACGCGAAAAGTGTCGAACTAGATACACACCTTCAAGTGGAAACTCGGAATCGCCGAATGAAGGAAGAGAGCAACCGAAATTTAACAGCAGATCTCAATAATTTGATGGAAGAAATAAGGGAAGTTCGTAGTCGTTCCAATCGTGCCGACGCCGAGAGATTACGAATGGAGTCTGAAGCACGTGACAGCGGCGAACAGTTACGTGAAATGGCAGAAAAAGTCTTTCAGCTGCTAGAAAGGCTCAAACTCGCCGAGCTTGGGAAGACCCGTGCCATGGAAGAACTGTCCAAGAAAGAAGCAGAGACCGTGGCTTTGTCTAAGAAAAATGCACGTCTATTGAAGGAGGCTACAAAGGAGGGGCGTGGGCGGGTCAAGGCAGAACTAGACAAAAAAATCCTACAAGACCAGCTGAGGGCAATTAAAAAACACAACTCCGTGCTCGCCTCTCGCTGCCGTGAAGAAGTGCGGCTCAAATTGGAGGAGCGTGAAGAAAAGGGTGCTGCTGTGGAAAAAGTGAAAACATTTAGCGGTCGTCTTGGCTTCCTTCTGAACAAAATGCAGACGGACGAAGAAGCAAAAGTAGTTAGAACAGAAGAAATACGAAAGCTAGAAGTTCAGTTGAAAACTTCAAACGATCATCTTTCAAAGTTGCAGGTCAAACTGGATGATGCGAATGAGTCCAACCGAATCATAACTCAAGCAAGCAGAATAAAGGAGGAGGAGCTGGAAACCATGAAAACTCGCCTTGAGACGGTGCTAGAGAACCATCAGACTGCAGATGTGCCAGTACCTCACAATCAAATGAGATCATATGAAGACGGTCTCGGCGATGGTGATGATTTTCGCATTGGAGCTAATGGCCGCTTTTTGCTGGATGCAACAGCCACTGATTTGATACTTCTTAAGGGGAAAACATCACAGTTTCGTGCTTGGTTGGATGCCCGCGAGGTTAATAAGCTCTTAAAACGTGCTCAAAGTTGCTCAAACACCAAGGAAATGCTTATAGAGTTGCTTGCGCGATGCTATGGTATGATGATGGTTCAAGAAGAAATCAAATACAACTTGCAAAGCGAGATGGGTGGCCGCGAAGAACAAGTCGAGCATCTAGGGCGCAAATGCACGCTAATGCAGGAAAAGCTTGAATCGGAGGAAGAAGCAAAAAGACGAACACTTCTACGTTATGTTCATGCTGTGAAAAGTGCGGCACCAGGTAAAAACGGCGCCGAGAAGCAGATGCTAGCTTCCAAGGCACTCGGCACGATCCAACTTCCAGAGTCTGCAATTTCTGATGAAGAGCTTCACGCTATTGCTGCGCTGCTTCGATGTGATAACACAATCCAGGAGCTTACTCTGCGAAACAATATGATCACAGACGATGGCGCTCACGCTCTTGCGTCTGTTCTGGCTGGCAAGTCCAGTCTCACTTCGGTCGATCTACGTGGTAACATGATCACACACCATGGAATCCGAACTATTGCTGAGGCCCTCGAAAGAGCAGAACGAGTCCGACATGTCTATGTGCATGCGGGTGGCAAGGTCGAGGCACTGGGTGTCTGTCGATGGGGATCATTATCCAAGGAATCAAATGCCTCGGCAAATGTGGAAACAATATGTTGTGTTGATTGTCGCGACAACAAATTGTCGTTGGAATCTGACAATAATGCTGTTGCCGTGCATTCACCAGCCCAAAGCAATTCCAGCAAACCCTCGAAGCACCAACCCATCCAAGTTAAGGCGCACGCCCGCCATCGGGGACTCAACCTCTCCAAGTCGGGACGTGAAAAAGCGTGGTCTAGCACAGAGTCCGATACTGCAGTGACTCGCACCAACTCGCTCCCTAGAGTCGCGCGAGGTAACAAGTAAGCTGGGCCTGAACCGCTCAGGTGAGTGAACCCGGAATCCACCTTGATTCCGCCTCGATTCCGCCTGTTTTCCCGCCTCTTGGAGAACGGAACACCGGAATTAAGGCGGGATAGTGGCGGAACCGGGCGGCATTGACGGGCCACGGGCCGCGATTCGACCTCCATTTTCGGAGGCGGGATCCGGCCTTGTCCCGCCTCGTCCTGTCTCGTCCCGCCTCCATTCTGGTCTCCTTCCCGCTTCGTCACGCCGGGCGAGGCCGTCGGCCCCGTCTTTTTACTTCAACAAAGTAATGTTGAACACAAACCTGGCGACTTGCCGCCAGGCACCCAGCCGTCGCGCAGCCACGATGGGTTCTAGAAAGTTAGGATAGTTTACTAGCTCCCTAACGTCGCTATGACGTCAGTCAGACTACTATCCAGCAGGTGCACTGTCCGGCGACTGTGCAACCTCGCTGAGCCTGGTTCTCTCCCCCTCAAAGCAAGCGCGGAGGCGAAAGCGAAGAGAGAAGAGCGCGAAGCGAATAAAGAGAAGAGAAAAGGATGAAGCGAGGCTTCACAGGAGGCCGAGCGTCGGCCCACACCTAGAAAGTTAGGATAGTTTACTAGCTTCCTAACGTCGCTATGACGTCAGTCAGATAACTATCCAGCACTGGCTGTCTGATTGTTGGTTACTGTATATTTGGCCGGACAGGGAGGAGGCAACAGGTCTCATGGAAGACGTGGTCTCCAGTCCGGCCCCCTTGTTCCATATTTAAAAAAAAAAAAAAAGAAAGGGGAAAAATTATTTTCCCTCATTATGTTGCAGGAGTATGGCTGAGGTGGCTGCGCCATCCAAGCGCGGTCCGTCGGCCTTCATTCTGGCATCTTTAATTGAAACTGAGCTCAACCTCCCCTCGAGGGAGGATCTTACTTGCTTCCTTTAGCTCAGGCTAGTGGGAGATACGAAAGGCCAAGTGGACGGAAATTGCATTTACGGCAGTACAATATGTTTCCGGTAACGAGTTAGTGAGTTTGGACCTATCATCATCCAGCTAAATAAAACTGCTGGTTGTGGTGGTCCTCTCCCGGCTCGCCGCTTCCCCGGGGTCCGGGGTGGCGCGGCTTATAGCGCACGCTGCGCCTTCCCTGTAATTCGCAACTCGTAGAGTAAGAATTTGGGAAGCGTAGCGGAGCAGAAGTTTCCACTAATAGCACGGTGGTGTGTTCTGCGTCCGGGAGTTTAGAAAAAAACTCAGCGCGTCGCCATCGTAACCAAAATCGACGCGGTCTGGACCGACGTTTCAATTGGGGTATTCCTCAGGTGGGAAATATTCTACGTACGCTAACTCGCCGCTGGTGCCGCGCGCCGCGCGTGGGACCCCCCCTGGGGGCTTTCGAAACGAATCGAAACACCGTTTTCGCGCGTCAGCGCGCGCGTCTCGGCCAGAAGATTGGTTCGTAGGGTGTACCAAACCCATGCGGGCCCGGGCGCGGCGGGTCTGCGCCGTCGGGCGACGTGAGTCGCGCGCGATCGCGGCCGAGGTCGTCTCGGTGAAACGACCGCAGCCGGCGCGCCGCGCGCGCGAACAGATGAACGAAACTCGTAACCTCAACGATCGTTCGTCGAGCGCGAGCGGCTACGATGATGTGTGGTGTTCGTTCCGGGCTCTGCGGGGCGAGTTAGGCGGTGCCCGTGGGGCTCGACACCCGCGCCTTCGTGCGTGGCCGTCAGCGGTCTTCAAACCGCAGGCGTGCAGGCGCCGCAGCGCACGCACGACATCAAACACACGCACGATGTGACCTCGTACATCAAGTCTAACAAC